TCTGAAAGGCTGTTACAACATCTCTGCCTGATGCAAAAGCTAAGAGCACAAAGAACAAGGAAATTATCAGAGTCATGAAGTCACAGCATTCCATCTCAGCTTCTTGACCCGAGGTGGCCACCCCAGGGGGCTTTCACAGTAGGAAACATGAGCTCATGGCAAACTTGTGAACTGAGACCCATTCTTGAGCTCTGGGGTGCAGAAGCAGCAGAAGCCAAACTCAGAGGAGGGTGATTTTGTGAGGTCTTAACAGCTAGGGGTTTTCTAAGCATGGCTGTGCCCACTCCACCTCCGGAAGCAGAGAACAGAGGTCTCAGTGAAGGGAAGAGACGTTTTGACCAAGGGGCACTGAGGGAAGTGTAGATTCCAGAGGTTGGAGTCACTGCTGGACAGCTTCCCGAGAGATGAGAAGACCCAGCTGACTTGCCTCCTGCCGGCACTGGCCACACTATCAATTCCTTTATCCTTGGAGCAACCTCATCAAGGACAGTCTTGATCTTCACGACAAACCATCCTCATTTCTCTACTCCCTCTTGCTCCTCAATGCTCTGATTCACCCAACTATCCAAAATAGTCCCTCAGCTAGCTCTAGATCTCTTAGAATATCAAAATATAACTGTCCTGGGTCCTTTGCCCCATTCCGGGATAATCTGATAAACTGATTGTTGTTGTTAGTGGTCATTGAGTCTGAATCATGGTGACCCCGCGTGTGCAAAGTAGAACTGTTCCACAGGGTTTTCAAGGCCGTGACCTTTCAAAAGCAGATCACCGGGCTTGTCTTCCACGGCACCTCTGGGTGGGTTCCAACCAGCAATCTTTTAGCTAGTAATCGAGTGCTTAACCATTTGCACCACTCACGGACTTCTAATGACTGATAGTGGCCGTCTTTGTCTTTCTAGACATTTGCACTGTAACAGCAGTATTGTAAAGAATGGGCCAAGTGGGAATCTGGGGTTCTGTGGGAACAATGAGGCACAGGGCCTCCTCCCATTGTCCTCCACACCACATCTCTCAGGTCTCCACACCACTAAAGTCCATTATGCTTTGCCCCAAAGGCAAAAGACCACTGCTGCTCCCTCCAGAGTCCGTGTTTTCTTCCCTTCTCTCTCCCTCCTCCCCCATCAGCTCAGAGTCTGAGAAAGGTTACTCGAATCCAGGGTTTCTTAACTTCAGCACTACTGACATTATGGGTTGGATAATTCTTTGTGTGGGAGATGTCCTGTGCATTGTAGGATGTGTAGCAGCATCCCTGGTCTCTACCCTCTAGATGCCCCCACTCCATCTGTGACCATCAAAAATGCTTCTAGACATTGTGAAGTGCCCCTTGAGGGGGCAATATTACCCCTGGTTGAGAACCACTGTTCTAATCCTACAAATTCCCAACAGACACCCCAGTAGGAAGAGCTAGCAAACCATGAAAAGTGTATGATTTACTACCTTAAATGTCCACCAGTGGGATGTGGTAAAAGCAAACTGACATTTATCTATCTAAGCAACCAATGGAAAAGCCATTTTTTAAATGACAGATCTTTGCCTTTGTGCAAACATACTCACTCAAAAACACCTTCGAGGGAAAATATATCCAATGTGAAGATGGCAGCAAAAATAGGAAAAACTTCATAACCTAAAATCACTTTAAAAAGTCAAGCTACAATTAATGGTTACCAGAGGGAGGGAGAAGTGGGGAGTTATTGCTTAATAGGTACTAACCATCTGTTTGGAGGGATGACAAAGTTTTGGAAACAGATAGTGGTGAGGGTTGCACAACATTGTGATTGTAATTAATGTCACTGAATTGTACAGTTAAAAATGGTTAAAATGGCGAATTTTATGTTATATATATTTTACTAAGGAGCCTTGGTGGCACAATGATTAAGCACTCAGCTGTTAACCAAAAGGTTGGCAGTTCAAACCCACCAGCTACTCTGCAGGAGAAAAGACCTGGCCATCTGCTCCCGTAAAGATTTGTTGTTGTTAGATGCTGTCAAGTTGGTTTCAACTTATAGCAACACTACGTACAACAGGACGAAACACTGCCTGGTCATGCGCCATCCTCACAATCTTTGCTGTGCTTGAGCCCATTGTTGCATCCCCCATGTCAATCCATTTCGTTAGAGGGTCTTCCTCTTTTTTGCTGACCCTCTACTTTACCAAGCATGGTGTCTTCCTCCAGGAACTAGTCAGCCTAGGAAATCCTATGGGGCAGTTCTACTCTGACCTATAGGGTCGCTATGAGTAGAAATCAGTCGACTACAGGGTACAAGGACAACATATGGGGCTTGGCAAAAGCCTTCGCTACTCTTTCTTTATATTATAATTATAAGAAAAGAAAATTCAAAATTAGGGAAGATATTAAATACTGAATTAATATAAAATTTCAAAAAAAATCTTGAATTTCTAATGAGAAATTTGCACTTGATTTTATAAACTTCTTTTATATCAGATTTTATGCTTCAAATAGTAAATCCTCATAAAGACTCCTTAAAATCTGATCAAGATTTTTTAATGACAATCTCTTCAATTTCTCCATAGTTACTACTAACGATAAATTTTGTTCACACTGTTGTTGTTGTGTGCCGTCCAGTCGATTCCCAATCACAGTGACCCTATAGGACAGAGTACAACTGCCCCACAGGGTTTCCAAGAAGTGGCTAGTGGATTTGAGCTGCCAATCTTTTGGTTAGCAGCCTGAGCTCTTAACCAGTTTGCCACCAGGGCCATTCACACTAGTAAGTGATATAAAATGCCAAAACACTTTTGGAGACCATTCCAAATTTATAACATTTGAGTTATACTTAAAGAATCTAATGGTTCTTTCTTTTCTTTCCTTGAAAACGGCAATGTTGAAATTCCTTGAGATTTTCAGAAGAAAACATTCTTTAATGATTACAAGGGTGGGGAGGAAGGGAGAGGAAAATTCACTAACTAGATAGTAGACAACAATCATCTTAGGTGAGGGGAAGGACAACACACAGTACAGAGGAAGTCAGCACAACTGGACTAAATCAAAAGCTAAGAAGTTTTTCTGAACACAATCAAACACTTTGAGGGACAGAGTAGCAGGGGCTGGGGGCTGGGGACCACAGTTTCAGGGGACATCTAGGTCAACTGGCATAATAACGTTTATTTAGAAAATGTTCTGCATCCCACTTTGGTGAGTGGTGTCTGTTATCTTACAAGCTAGTGAACAACCATCTAAGATACATCAATTGGTCCCAACCCACCTGCAGCAAAGGAGAATGAAGAACACCAAAGACACAAGGAAAATATTAGCCCAAGAGACAAAAAGGGCCTCATAAACCAGAGACTCCATCAGCCTGAGACCAGAAGAACTAGATGGTGCCCAGCTACTACCAATGACCACCCTGACAGGGAACACAACAGACAGTCCCTGATGGAGCGGGAGAAATGTGTGGAACAGAACTCAAATTCACGTAAAAAGACCAGACTTAATAGTCTGATTGAGACTGGAGGAACCCCGGAAGCCATGGCCCCCGGACGCTATGTTAACCCAGAACTAAAACTATGCCAGAAAACTACTCTTCAGACAAAGATTAGACTGGACTATAAAACATCAAGTAACACTCATGAAGAGTGTGCTTCTTAGTTCAAGCAGATACACAAGACCTCCTGTCCAGAGGCAGGATGAGAAGGCAGGAAGAGACCGGAGCAGGATGGATGGACACTAGAAACCCAGGGTGGAAAGTGGAAGAATATAATCAATGTCACTGAATTGTACATGTAGAAATTTTTGAAATGGTGTAACTTTGGCTATGTATATTTTCACCAAAAAAAGGTCCTCCAAGGTCGAGAAGGGAGAGTGTTGACATGTCGTGGGGTTGTTAACCAACGTCATAAGACAATATGTGTACTGACCGTTTAATGAGAAACTATTTGTTCTGTAAACCATCTAAAGTACAATACAAAAATATATTAAAAAAAGAAAATCGTGGTGTTGAAATTCCTTGAGATTTTGTGAATGGATTTCAAAACTAATGGAACTTTCTCACATAAAGTATTTCAAAAGAATTAGAACGCTTTAATTTGGAGACCACTCATGTGTAGTTAGTTACTGAGCAGAGCCAGCCTGGACATCACTAAAAGGGTACATCAGTCATAAACAGAGAAAGAATCCAATATATGTGAAAACAGGTTCAGCGCTATGCCTGCCAGTACCTTCCCTTGTCCCCCCTCTCTCCTCCCCACTTCATCCTGTTGTGAAGTTGCACAAGGCCCCATGCTTGGCAGGGCCCCATGCCTGGTTTAATGCTCTCCTGTCACCATTTTGAAATTATTAGTAATTCTTGAATAAGAGGCCCTGCATTTTCAACAACATATATTTTACTACAATTTTTAAAAAATTAAAAAAGCAGACTACAAAATTTGTGTGCATGGACATTACAGCTGTAGAAAACTTACACATCCAGATGAAAAGAACTGATTAATTAGACATCTGACTGGATGAGATGACAGGATTATAGGTAAATCATTTATTTCACTTAAAGTTTTTTAATATGTAGGTAATTAAGATAATGATTCCCTGGATGGTGCAAACAGTTAACTCACTTGGCCAGAAGCACCTCAAAGGAAAGGTCTGGCAATCTATTTCTGAAAATCAGCCATTGAAAACCCTGTGGAGCACAGTTCTACTCTGACACACATGGGTCGCCATGAGTCAGAATTGACTTGATTACAGGTTTTTCTCTTAACTAACATAAAGTGAAGCAAATGTATATTGTACCATGACTATAACAATTTTAATAGTTGCAATTGCCCTAAAATGTTCTATTTGTTTATTTGGCCGTATTAGCCAGCAAAGGAGAGTGGGCACTTAAGAAACAACAAACCCACATTCTGCTTTTCCTGCTCATTCCCTTCATCTTCATCAGAGGAAACAGTTACTTCAGGAGTGACCATTCCCATCACTTGTATCAGCCGTCCCTAGGAGTGGCATCTGGAAAGGGCAGGTGCTTGACAGATATTTGTTGGCCTGAACTTACCTCAGACTTCAGCGTGGTGGTTCGAGGGCTTCCACTTGGAGTATAGTGGGTTTCTGTGTAGGTTGGAGCAAAAAGGTCCCTGCAAAGAACAAACACAGACATTTGTATCTTTAGCTGATGATTCCATCCTTCTGGTAACAGCAGCCAGTGATTTTAACTGAACCAGACAGGACCACCCAAAGAACTCCACGCAGAAGAAACCACACAGCCACAGGGGGCTGAGGAACAAACAGAAAAACGGGAAAGTTTGTTATTAATTTGATATTCATTAGCATCATCATTTAGTTCTGGCACAACCAGATGAAGCAGACAGACCTAAAGCAATGGTTCTTAACTTATTCTGTGTCCTGGGGAAACAGTGACGCAAACACGTGCACAAAATGTTCCAGGATTCATGAACTCTATTTTGTATCTCTATTGATTTGCCAGCATCGTGTCCACCAATTTTTACTATCAGCACACCAATTTTTCTTTAAGGCAATAACTCCTTCCTTGTTGAGTGTAGTTTGGTGGGACTGTCAATGAAGGTGTCCTACCCAGTCCTGGCCAAGAGCTGGCCCATGATCCATGCCAAGCCAATGGAATAATGTTGCATGGGCTGAGCAGATAAAAGCAATTCATCCGGTCCTTTGTTCCTGGAGCTGCCTCTGCCTGTCCTTCTGAGACCTAGTAGTTTAGATTTCCTGAGACCTGGTACTTCTGTACATTACCCTTTCAATAAATTCTTTTCTCCCTCCCCACCAAAACTGAACACTGGTTTCTCCCTTCCACAGACCCCTTGAAGCTAACGTAAGAATCCCTCACGAAGGACAAAAACCAAACCCAACCCATTGTTGTCGAGTCGATTCTGACTCATAGTGACCCTATAGCACAGAGTAGAACTGCACCATAGGGTTTCCAAGGAGTGCCTGGTAGATTTGAACTGCCGACCTTTTGGTTAGCAACCGTAGCTCTTAACTACTGCACCACCAGGGTTTCCCGCCAAAGACAAGGCAATACCAAATAAGGTTCCTAGAATTTCTCTGAAAGTTAAAAGAAAAACAAAAGAACCAAATGGATGTTTCAGCTAGCTCAGCCACATTAAAAAGAGTATAGCTCTACAGAAAGTCAAGGTCAAGCGGGCAAAAAGGTTTCTAATGGAAGGCACCATTAAAAACTGGAGTCTAATATAAAAGAATGACGTGGATGTATATGTACTAATGTGGAAAGATGTCTAAAGTAGAGTCAGACAAAAACAGTAAATTACAGAAAAGTTTGTATTATAAAAGTCCATTTTAATGAAAAAAAAATAATGGCATACATGCATGCATGCATTAAAAACAACTGTAGTAACAAATGCTCATTCTTAATGGTAGATATCTCAGGGGATTAAAGAAGATGTTCGTTATCTAAGTTACACATTTCTGAAATTGGTTGAATTTTTTCTAATTATCCTGTATTTATTTTGAAAGCTGAAAAACTACTTTAAAACTGGATTTTCTAAAAAAGAAGAAAACTGAGGCGGAAGCCAGCACAGAAAGCTGAGGAATCTTCAGAGACGACCTGGGTTTTGGAAGAGGTGACATTTTCCAACAAGAGAGGGTTAGCTGAGACAGTCCCTCTAGTCACCTCCAGCTCTAAGCTCTGGGAATCCTGACTCTCAGATTCCGGGCTTCCCCCACCCTCAGCGTGAAGCCAGAAGAAAAATGCCAGAAGAATTGTTTCTTGCAATGTTAAGCCTTCAACATCTAGCCCTGGACAAAAAAAGAAACAGAAACACAGCAGGAAAATGTAAAAATAAAGCAAAGCACAAAAAGCAGCTTGTGTAGAGAAGTTCTCGATCACATGGAAAATTTGGGTCAGTGGCTAATGTCCCAGATTCTGTCTCCCTAGCCCTCTCTCTTCTCCTTAGCATCTAACCAGGATCCGAGGGAGGGGTCACCCATTTGCCTGAAGGGGATAAACTGTAAACATCATGAGGGCAGAGGCTTGACATTTGTTCAATGAAAGAATTAATTAACTAATTACTGAATGAATGAGTAGTTCAGCATACTAGTTTAGAGTGTGATCTGAAATTCCAGAGACTGAGGTTTCAGTTCAGCTCTGACATTTACTATCTCTGGCCATGAGCAAGTTACTTTGCCTCTCTGAACCTGTTCCCTCTTCTGCAAAAAGAAGGGTAATATACCTACTTGACAGGGCTATTTGGAGTAGTGGTTAAGAGCTCATCTGCTAACCGAAAGGTCGGCAGTTCGAATCCACCAGCTACTCCTTGGAAACCCTATGGGGCAGATCTACTCTATCCTATAGGGTCGCTATGAGTTGGAATCGACTCAACAGCAACAAGTTTGATTTGACAAGGCTGTAGTTTTTACATAATACATGTAAAGTGGAGCTCAATAAAGGTTAGTGACTGTCATTATTGATCCTAACAGGGATTGATGGAAAAACCCAGAAAAATGAGTGAAATTTACCTGTTTCTGTCTCTCTCCCTAGCCATCAACTCTCCAGTAAGTCATTTGAGAGAGGTAATAAGAAGCAATTAGCTCATTCCTGCCTTCTACTTCCTGGGGTCTGCTTTCACAGTCTGCCTGGACTGCATAATGGATGACTTGTCAAGGGTTAGAGCCTAACGGTTCATCCCTAGTGCCAATGGAGAGATGTGAATTTTCCAGCAAGAAATGCACTCCTGGTAAATACATTCTCAGCCTCTTCTGAGTCTTAGGGGAAAAATACTCATCCAGTAATGTTAAGATGCTCCAAAAAGAACAATCCAAATTTAGCCTCAGAGGTGTCCATCTTCTTATCAGCCCTCAGTCATACGTCCTCAGAAGGATAAGAAACTCTTGTAGCTTCTTATTCTGTGGATCTGCCCTTATTGTCATAGAACTTCCAGGGCCTCAGCACTGAAAGGGATCTGAGAAACCAGTGAGTCAGACTCCCTAGACTGTGGGCTCCCTAAGGGCAGGGACCAAAGCTTCCTTGTTCAAGGATTTTCCCCAGCACCCAGCACCTGCCAGGCAGGCAAAAACCAGCTGCCATCAAGAGGATTTCGACTCATGGCGACCCCACGTGTGTCAGAGTAGAACTCTGCACCATAGGGTTTTCAATGGCTGATTTTTCTGAAATAGACCTCCAGTCCGTTCTTCTGAGGCCCCTCTAGGCGGACTCAAACCTCCAACCTTTTGGTGAGCAGCTGAATGTGTTAACTGTTTGCACCACCCAGGGACTCCAAGCATGCAGGCAAACCGAGAAAACCAAACCCGTTGCTGTCGAGTCGATGCCGACTCATAGTGACCCTACAGGACAGAGTAGAACTGCCCCACAGGGTTTCCAGGGAGTGGTTAGTGGATTCGACTTGCCGACCTCTTGGTTAGCAGCCGAGCTCTTAACCACTGCACCACGAGGGCTCAGTAGGCAGGCAGTGAGTGAGTGAGTAGATGAAGAAATGACCAAACGAATGAATGAATGAACAAAACTTCTACCTAGTATAGGAATCTGCCTGATGGCCATTCAACATTTGCTTGAATACTGCCAGGGACTGGGAATGAGACCGTCCACTCGATTTCTGACCATGTACAGTAGCTGAAAAAAATTCTTAAATTGAACCAAAAACTGCCTATCTATAACCCACACCCACTGGCCTTCACTCTGTCCTCTGAGCCTATACTGAATAATCTGCTTTCTCTCCTACATGACAACCCTTTCCCATGGTCTTTCGTTGGTAGGCATTGTCAGGTTCGTTTTCAACTCATAGCGACCTCACGTGACAGAGTGGAACTGCCCCGTAGGGTTTTCTTGTCTGTAATCTTTACAGAAGCAGATTGCCAGGTCTTTTCTCCCGTGGAGCAGCTGCATGCCCTCCAACGACCAACCTTTTGATTAGTAGTTGAGCATTTAACTGTTGTGCCACCAGGGCTTCTTCTTAGCACAGTAAATACCTGTTAATGATTATGATTGTAACCGTTCTGGGTTTCCCAATCTCAGAATGATCCAGGATGTGGTGGAGGTGAGAGGGTGATGGGAGCTTGGGCAATGACCCACTTTTAGACACTTTGAAGTTTGTCTGCCTTAAAAGTATGACGAGAGCTTGTGGTCTGGGTGTTGTTCTAGATTTAAGCAAGCACTAGAATCACCTGGAGGGTGGTCCAACCTTAGAGTTTCTGTCTGAATTAGTAGATCTGGGGTGAGGGCCTGACAATGTTCACGTTTAACTAGGTCCTAGGCTGTGGCAAAGGAGTCTTGGTTGTGCAACAGTTAAGTGCTTGGCTGCTAACTGAAAGGTTGTGGTCACTATGAGTTGGAATAGACTCCACAGCACCCAACAACAACAACACTGTACTAAGTGCTTGCCTTATTTCACTTAACCTTCACAACATACCTGTGACATAGGTACTGTTGTTGTAGAAATCAATTTCCACTCATAGTGACCCCATGTGACCGAGTAGAACTGCCCCATAGGGTTTCCTAGGCTGTAATCTTTATGGAAGTCGACCACCAGGTCTTTCTCCTGAGGAGCTGCTGGGTGCATTCGAACCGCCAACCTTTTGGTTAGCAGCTGAGTGCTTAACTGTTGCGCCAGCAGGGCTCCTCCCCCATTTTGTAGTCGAGAACACTGAGGCTCAGAGGATACGTTGTGACTTGTCTCAGTTCTCACAGCACAGTGTCAGAGCCAGGTTTCAAACTCAAGTCTACTGGACCTGGCCGTGCTTTTAAAGCAGTTTGCTGCTCTGTCTCACTTAGAAGGTGGAAGCATCTAAGCCTTGTCAGACACAGTGTTCCCAGACCACAATCTGATGGTGACAATGGCAGCCTTGAGGGCATATATGGTGTCACAAAAATGTAGACCATTAGCTCCTAAGAGACAGGTGGATATATGCAGGGAAAAGCAACCAGTACCAGTTGTCACTGAGTAGACTCTGACTCCTGGTGACCCCATGTGTGTCAGAGTAGAACTGGGTTCCATCGGGTTTTCAAGACTGATTTTACAGAAGTAGATCACCAGGCCTTTTTTTCTGAGGCAGCTCTGGGTGGACTTGAACCTCCAGCCTCTCAGTTAGCAGCTGAGCACCTTAACTGTTTGCACCACCCCACCCCTCC